TGGTAGGAATTTGAAAATTGGAATTGTAGGTACTCTTCATAAATAAATAGACATGTTTCAAAATATTTGGATTTTACATATTAAGGGAGGAAACGGAAGGTGAAAGTTTGAATAAGACTTTCGGTTTTTTAATTGTAGAAATTTGAAAATTGGAATTGTAGCTACTCCAAGGGTTTTGGATTTTCACATTTCAAGGAGGAAGTATTGTAAAAATAAAAAAAAACAAAAAAATTAAAACTAAAAAATATCCAAAAATAAATAAAAATAACAATAAATAAAAATAAATAAAAATAAATAAAAATAAATAAAAATAAATAAAAATAAATAAAAATAAATAAAAATAAATAAAAATAAATAAAAATAAATAAAAATAAATAAAAATAAATAAAAATAAATAAAAATAAATAAAAATAAATAAAAATAAATAAAAATAAATAAAAATAAATAAAAATAAATAAAAATAAATAAAAATAAATAAAAATAAATAAAAATAAATAAAAATAAATAAAAATAAATAAAAATAAATAAAAATAAATAAAAATAAATAAAAATAAATAAAAATAAATAAAAATAAATAAAAATAAATAATAAATAAAAATAAATAAAAATAAATAAAAAATAAAAATAAATAAAAATAAATAATAAATAAAAATAAATAAAAATAAATAAAAAATAAAAATAAATAAAAATAAATAAAAATAAATAAAAATAAATAAAAATAAATAAAAATAAATAAAAATAAATAAAAATAAATAAAAATAAATAAAAATAAATAAAAATAAATAAAAATAAATAAAAATAAATAAAAAAAAATAAAAATAAATAAAAATAAATAAAAAAATGTGGCGTAAAATAAGATTATCAATTAGATTAATATATTTAAATATTAGAATAGTCTAATTAACATTAATCTATAATACTATCACAAACATACTTTAAACAGTAAAACAACATATTATGGCGTCTTTTTTTAGAAAATCATGCAATTTTTTTATACTAAAAATACGACTCCACGCGTGCGAAGCCTCGGGCAACAGCTAGTATAATCATATAACTGTAAAATTAAAATATGGCTCAAAATCACCAAGGTGGGAAATTTGCTACGCCAGCAAATAAACTACTAAAATCATAATTTTATTGAGGAAAGAACATAATGGAACATTAAAATTAATTTGTTTTAACTGTACATCGTACAATACACTTTAGAAATAAATTATCTTCCATATTATTTGAAAATATATATACAGAAAGTCATTTCGAGAACTTACAATCTTTAAAATCAAACTTTAACAAATCATATAAATTTATCGATATTAAATAATTTCCATTACTTATGTAGAGTATTTTTATTAAATAAGTAGATTTTAAAAGAGCAATTCAAAAAAGCTTTATTTTTACATAAAAATATGCAAAAATATTTTGTCCGACTGTGTTACGCATCATTTCAGTGAACGTAGTTGTAATTGGTTGAAAATAATTTCATGCGAATGCAGCTTATAAGTGCTTGGGCACAGTAGTGAAAGGAAACGGTAATGTACCCAGCTGTCAAAATATTTTTCACAAATTAATTTTAAAATAAGTGATAAATACCTTTCAATTCATTAATTACAAAGCGTACATCAATAGTTCATCATCCCGGGAACGCACTTGATAAGTTTAAAATGTTGGAAAAATACCTTTTAAATTACAATATTAACAAAATAACCATAAATATTTTACTTTGATCATTCCAGACTGTATTTAAAATGGGCGCCGTTAAAAAAAAGCGTGCATTTATTTGAAATCGTCATTTCGTCAACGGTCATTTTGGGAACGTTCCCGGACATGATGTCACGTTCTCGAAATGACGATGACCATTTTATTTTGGAATAGAATTGTTCTTGCAATTTTTTAATAACTTACTATGTATATATCATGTGTACGTAATTTTCAATAAGTTAACATACTTGTTTGTGTTGTTATATCAATAAGAAGACTTACGAGTGAGAAGAAACAAAAAAGGAGCAAAAAAACTTTACCTATTTACGATAAAGGGAAAAATCATTACCTATAATTCTTAACAGTTAAGTTCATGATACTATTACTCGAGAAGATAAGCCCACTTGACGATCCAATTTCGATCGCGTTAGCGCATGACGTCACCCGTTGACAACAATCCATCTCGTGGGCATGGAAAAGCATTACGCTAGAGCGGTTTTAATCAATATTTTATGTTTATTTTTTATAATATTGATATATTATTTTTATAATATTATTATATTATTAAATTAAATATTTTTGGCTTGCCTAATCATCTTAAAATATCCCAAAACGTGTAAAAAAGTATTATGAGGAAAAAAGAAAATTTTTGTCTATCGGTATTCACCATAACTTTTAAAGTAATTGCGCTATAGATAGGTGTTATTCCATTAGGGGTCGGATTGGAATATTTTTGAGTAAAATTGGTAAAGGGGAAGGGGGTGAAATTTCGGGGTAAAAAGGTAAAAAATGCAATTTTTTGTAAAAAATCGAGTAATATGTCGTTTTATAGGTTTTTGGCGATGGACATTTTGATTTTATAATCCATTTAATATTTTAATTGATAATTAGAAAAAGAGTAAAAAGGGGAGGGGTAAAAATTTAAAATATTTAAAAAATCGAGTTTTCTCGGATTATTTTAATTTTAAAATTCATTTAGTGATTTAATAAAAAAAATACAGGTAGAGGTATAAAAGGGAGGGGGTAAAAATTCAAAATATTTGAAAAAAATTGAGTTAATCCTATTTTAGAGTTTTTAAAGTATAGACATTTTTATTTTACAATCAATTTAATATTTTTATAGAAATTACGGATAAATGTAAAAAAAGAGGGGTAAAAATTAAAAATGTTTGGATAAACAAGTAATAAATCGTCTTAAAAGTTAAACAGCAACAGAAATTTGGAAATATTGATTTAATTTGCAGCAGTATGTTTTTGGTTGTTATTGTTTGAACAACCTACCACTGCACAGTATACCATAGTAAATGTTTAAAACAATGTTTTTAAATATAACATATAAAAAGCTTTACGCACGTTTACTTCTAATACCCAACAAACCAAAAGAACAAAATTAAATAATCAGTATTACACGCAAAACCGCTTTGCGCCGTATAGATCTGGTTGTTGCTGAGTCGGGTAGTCTCCCAGTGACGTCAGGCGTGCGAGAGAGATGGGCTGATCTCATGCGCGTGGATTTATCTTCTCGAGTAATAGTATCATGAGTAAAGTTGATGCCATGCTTAATTTCATTAAGGTACCTCCTGAAGTTCGCAAAATCCTTTTGTTTAGCGAAGTATTAAGTACGCATTAGAAGAGAAAGCTGATACTTTGGCAAAAAATTCAGAAGAGAGAATTTTCTCAAAAATGTATCAGCGGAAGTGTTTTAAGAAAATACAAATTACTTCATATGGCTAAGAATATTTTACCAAAGCAACCAAACAATAAATCGATTATAAAATTTGATGTTAAATTTCACAGATTGTGTTGAAGCCAGAAGTTCTTCAGAAGGTTATAAATGTTTTCGAAAGAGATGACGTTAGTAGAGTGTGCCCAACTAAAAGAGACTTTTAAAATAAAATGGCATTAGAAAATAAAAGCACATCCTTTTATTCACAGTCAAATCACTGAAATCAAAATTCGCAAAAGAAACTGGGGTTAATTTATCCTATACGACACTTCTTAGAGCAAAGCCGTTCTGGGTCGAAGCTCCAAAATTAAAAGACCAAGAAACATGTTTGTGTGTTAAACATAAAAATTTCGAATTAAAATTCAATAAGCTGTTTTTTTAATAAGTGATTATCGCCAGAGATAACTGTTATATTATTCGAGATAATTATTAAACTTAGTTGTGAACTTTAATCAAAAAACTGCATTATAAGAACATTAAAAGTAAGGACATACAATTCATTTTTAGTTAAGAACAAATCCTGTTTTAATAAATAAATAACTATGATTTATAAAACTCGTTCATTATTTTAATGTACCTTTATTGAGGGTTATCTATATCAATATCGTCAGTTGGCAAACAGTCGTATCATTCTGGGAACGCCTAATCATTTTCGGGAACGTTACTAAAATTACGTAAAACACAGAATATTTTAGATATAATTATTAAAAAAGACTAATTATGTATATATTAACTCATTTTCATTATAAAAAATATTGATATTTTTATATTTCCAAAGTTGCACATATAAAAAAAGTAACTTATCTTCGTTTTGGATGTATTTTACTTTAAAGGGGTTTTGTATGTATTATTTAATTTTTTTTAAATTAATTGTTGATTAATATACACCTACTCCATTGTGTAAAGAAAAACAAAAAACATACTTAGGTATTTTTTGACATTTTTTTAACTTTAAAAAAACGTTCCCGAAATGACCATTTGTAGCAAAAGTATTATTTAAAAGCAGAATTACAAAAAAAGTAATAAATTCTATGCTCGCCTCATAAAGGTATTATTCAAACAAAAGTTAAATGACAATATAAACTAATAATCATGATTATAGTTCGTAATATTTTTTCCATAAAACCAATCTTGAAATTTGCGACCTTGGTGATTTTGAGCCATATATACTAATACAAAATTCCGAATCAATTGAAATACTTAGATACGGCTATGAATAAATAAAGTCTGACTTATATGTCAAAAGAAAATGTTTAGTATAGTTAAAATTATGGAAACATGATTAAATCTAAATGAAAACTTTTATTAGGCCGATCAGATGTATTAAAATTTTCATTTTAACTACAAATAAGCATTGAAGGATGAGGTGTAAATAAAATGTTTACCTCTACCTCTTGAACCTGTACTACGGTCTGCAAATTGAATTACTGGACTCCTTCTCTAGACTATACCCATACGCAATAATGAAATTTATTTTTGAACTTTAAAACCGATTGTTTACTTATGTAATGTTCTAATATTTGTACAATTTATATGTACATTTAAGCACTTTGTAATTATGTTTCTTCCTTTTCAGTTGATTTTATGGTAAGAAATCTATCAGATCCTGTATACATCATGCTAAGGACTCCATTTACTCAACTGTATGAAGTAACACCATTTTTACCAGTTTGGTGGGATCCTTCCTTAAATAATGGTACAGGCAGCTGGTCTTCAGAAGGCTGTAACTTTTCACACGTTATTCAAGACCATTTGGTATTCTCTTGCGATAATTTTGGTTACTATGGGTTATTACAAGACATAACCTCATTGGAATTAGAACAAAGTGGAGCCAGGTTTAAATTATCCCATCCAGCAATCTATGTTGGGGTACTTATACTCTTCACATCATTTCTTATAGCTATTTTAACATATTTATTGTGTTATGTGACCATACAAATTCCCAAAAAGACCAAACATTCATTGATTAATACTTGGATATCAATTTCTTTACTTAGTTTTTTTTATGTATTCGGAATTTATCAAACTGAAGACGTTAGGGTTTGTCAAATTGTCGGCATGATTTTACATTATTTTACTTTATGTTCCTTACTGTGGATGTGCGTTGGAGTAAATTGTATGTATAAAAGATTAAGCAAAAACGATATCATAGGCTTGCAAGATGACGATTTACCTTTAGATTATCCCATACAAAAGCCGATTTTGGGACTCTATTTAGTAGGTTGGGGAATAGGGCTAATAGTATGCGGCCTATCAGCAGCTATTAACATTAACGAGTACGCCTCGTCTAGTCACTGTTTTTTGAAATCAGGTCCGGCTTTAAGTGCTCTATATATTCCTTGTGCAATACTTGTAATCGTTTTAGTTATATTTTTTTTGTTGATCCATTGCGCTATCTATAACTTAGATTCCAATGGACATTTGAGCGAGGGAACTCAAGCAACAGAACATGTTGATTTAGATCTCTTAGAACCGAATTTTCCCAATGGAGAAACGAGAAGTGTGCGCAGTATTAGTACCAAAACAGGCTCAAGTGAAATAGAAGATCCTGAGCATGCACCTTCTGCACAGCTTAAAGCTTATATAATATTTTTATTTATTTATATAATGACGTGGTTAAGCGGAGCTTTCGCCACCGAAAGTCCTTTCAACTTACTTTCATTCGAAGAAGACCTATTCAGTATAACTTTCGCTGTTTTAGCTACAACTTTGAGCGCTTTTACATTATTTTTTTATTGCGTTGCTAGAAATGACGTACGCACTCATTGGGTTATTTTAGCTAGATGGTTAAGACGTAAAAGAATGTTCCAGTTAAGATCTAGAAATGTTTCTGATACTCCACCCAGTATTCCTCCAATTCAAGTACAACCTTTGCCGGTACTGCCCATTAGTAATTTGGTTGAAAATCAAATAATTTCTAGATCTACCAGCAGAACTTCTAGCCATTCAAAGTCTAATTCGAGAAACAGCAATCTTCTGAAAGGTGCCGTTGATCTAAACGAATCGTTTAGTGACCATCAGGGGGCCAAAATAAATAACGTCAATTTGGTTGTTCTTCACCGAGCTCAATACAGGACAAGTATTATTCCTAATATTATTGAAAATCCCACCAATGCAGATGTTTTTTATAATCCGCACCAAAGCACTGTGGCTAGGAAATTTTTCAAAAGGCAAAAAAGGAATATGATAAAAAGGAATAATTTGGCAAAACCGCCTCGTGATATAAACAGTGATACTGCCTCAGTTTTTTCAGAACCTCAATTGAAAATCAAGAATCACTCAGACCAGAATATCTTTGGGACTAATTCTAAAGTTAACAATACTAATATTCACGTTGAACATAAACATAAGACACAACAGAAAAATCCTAATATTTTCTCAGACAGTGTAGAAGATTTTGACTCAACGGAAGATATTCCAGTTGATAATTTGGTAATACATGCCGAGATGTTGAGGAAAAAAGAGTTATTGAGGGGAAAATTCAAGAAAAAACAGAATACTATGGAAGTACAAATGTCCAGTCGACAAGACAATAACATGCGATCCATGGCACAACAATGTACTTTAGGCTACAGCTCGGAAACTATATCGGATTCTTTATTAGATAAAACCAGTCCCGACAAGACACTTTTACCTAATCAAGAAAGTTTTACTACCACAGAAACCAGCGAAGCGGTAGCTTCTATCAGAAGGGAAAACAGTCCTTTGAGTATTTTAACAGACAATGACATCAATTACTGTCAAATAAATGATCTTAACTCCAGAGACGATTATTACCAAAAATCGAGTAAAACACCATCTACGATTCAGGCTACGAACTGCGATTTTAGTGTTATAGATTCTTCATCATTAGGAGGTAAATCGACGCCTATAATTTACGATAATCCTCAAACTTTGAGGTTAGGTACAGGCGACGGACAAAGCAGAGCCAGTAGTTTATCTGTGAGTGATTTGGATGAATTGTATCAACAAATACGTAGAGGACCACAGAGTAAAAGCTTCAGGTATATTTCGTCACATGTTAGTCCTTGCTTGTCTGATTCTGAAATAAATTTATTTATCAATGATGGCAGGCATAGGACGAATAACTTAAGGAGTCATGATGAGTTTGACAGATTGAGTGATGACGTAGAAACTAGGGTGTAAAAAGGCTACTGTAGGGCTCTAGTTGTGGCTCAAATAAGATATTTATTTTTTGTGACGTCGGATGTAATTATGGATCTTTGTAGGCGGTATTTGAGACAAGTGGAATGCTCGAAAAGAAGTTTTGTACCAAACAATAAAAAACAGAATTTAAAAGTTAAGACATATTGTGAAAGATTTATAGTTACAACCATCAAATCTCGAGCGAGGGTAACTCGAGCATGGCTACATGGACTAAGTTTTTTTATGCATTTTGTTATTTGAAAATTATCAAAATATAGAGGACAGTTCTCTTTTCGCTGAGTCTAGTAAAGTAAAACATAGTTTATTTATAAAAAATATATATATATATATATATTTATTTATAATTTTTCAAAGTATTCTCCTACCTAGTCATTACTTTTTTTATCCACGAAAACCATTCTTGAAAATATTTTCTCCAATCTTCTGGCCATAGTTTATTTCATTTTTAAAGGCATCGACCGCTTCTTCAGCCGATGTAAAACGTAAAGCCCGAAATTTATCATTTATCTGCGAAAATAAGAAGTCATTAGGTACTAGGTCTGAACTATACGGCGAATAACTCATTATTTCTATGTTTTGAGCATTCAAATATTCATTTGTTTGAGTAGCAGTGAGCCTAAGCACTATCTTGATGTACGTTTTTCACGAACCTTTTGGAAAACTCTTAGGCAAAAAAACTGTAGTGTACTATTCTGAATTAACAGTACATTTATCCACTAGTGCTACAGATGAAACATGTCCAGTAATTCCAAAAAGAGTAGCGACCATCTATTTGTTTTGGATTTTTTCACTAACATTTGTTGGAGCCAACTCATTCTCAAAGACGTCAGTTTAAGTCTTTGAGAATGAGTTGGCTCATTGTTGCTCATTTAGGGATCATAGCAGTATACGCATGTTTCATCACCTGTGATGATGATGATGATGTACGACAAATTAGACGATCCACAGTCAAAAGCGATCTAGTATAGATCTGCACCATCTCACATCTTCTTTTTGAACTAAAGCAAAGTTGTGAGTAATCCACCGTGAACAAAGCTTACAGACTTTCAAATGTCACCAAGCACTCAATTGATTTTCTCAAAACATTCTTGATGGTTTAAACCACGTTTGAAATTGTAAAAAATCATCCCAATAAATGTTCCTTGTTCATTTCCATCACTTTTTGGCAAAAGGATTACTATAAACTTATGTAACCTACACTGCCGTGCTAAGCACAAAGGTGTAACTGTAATAAACTTGAATTCAAAAAATTTTGATATTTCGATGTGTAAACTTTGTGGTTCTGAAAATCGGCATTATAAAGTTTCAGGTGTGACTGTTTTGAAAGATAATATTTTAATTTTTTGTTTTTTTCAAATTTTATTCAAGATATTGAAAGATTTGATATAAAAATCATAATCTTTTCAACTTACAACTAATTAATCTATTTTTTCATTTGTTTATTACTACAGCATATTGGTATGTAATTAATGATCATTAATATTTATTTTATTTTTGTTTTATAAATTGAAATCTTTATTAACGAGGCTCTAATTATAATAATTAATTTTGTTATGAACCAATTTTAAGTAATGACAAAAAAGTAGAATATAAAAAAGGAAGGAAAAAAATGAAAGCTACATACGATAATTGAATTGCATAACATTAAATTTGTTAGTAATATCAGTTCTCAGTACTTTAATCTTCTACTTCATCGTTAACATCTTCACGATCATTTTTTCGCTAAATCTTCCCAAAATTTTAACCTAGTTTTTAGTATGATACCATTTGAAGGCTTCTTTTTATCTTTGGAAATTCCGTTAGCAGCATTTTTCTTATTTGGTTCTAAAATACCGTCTTTGATTAATTTCACCTTAAGGAAATGAACTATTTTGTAATCTGGGTTCTTAAATGAATTTTTATAAAATAACGCCAATTTTCTCTCTTCTACTTTAACTTTACTGAAATTTTTAACAAATTTACTAAAGCATTTTTGACGTATCTGAAAAATACTAAGGGTTATGGACGTATTTGTTTTCAAAAACAATCAAAAAAGCTTAGTTTTTTGCAGATACGGCACTTTAACGTATTATATGAGGTAGAAAATAAAGATACGACTATTTTTATAGATCTATTTTAAATAAAATATTGACTTTTTATGCTTAATAACTTAATAATAATAATGAAAATTGATAATTTAATGTATTATAATCAAAAACTAATTTTTCTTAAAAAAATCAGTTACCACCTTTATGCTTAACACGGCAGTACAATCAGGTTTGAAAACTGTCACTAAACTAAACTTGTAAACAATTAGATTGGAATGTCAGATAAAATTTAATGCAAAAATATCATCGCCTACTAGATAGGCTCAGCGGAAACGGAACAGCTATTATAAGATCAATAAGTAGAAATTGTATTCTTGAAAATGCTAAACCACTTAAGGATCTCAAATAACAAGAGCGCGTATATTAAACATTATTTTTGGTGCAACTGTTCAAAACGGATTAATAGATCTGATTTAACTTTTTAAATACTTTTTTGTATTATTAAAATTTTGATATTAAAAAACCGTCCTAGTCTTAAGAAATCTCAACATATTCAGCTTGTAAGTTATTTCGATTTTAATGAATGATACATACTGGTGTTATTATTAATGAAGAACAAATTGTGTATTATAAACAGGTTGTTTCTTAAGTATCGTCTTTTTTTTAATAACAAAATTCCATAACACAAATCAGTAATGAATGTTATTTTATTTGTGTAAGAAATTTTAAGTTATTTTTTTTTCTTTCAATAAAAAAAATACTACCCGTGATAATATGTATTACAAATGTAAAGGGTAGGTAAATTAAAAATAGACCAATATTTAATTAGAGGCTCATATCCGGAAAGGTACCGGTTTCTAACTAAAACTGAATATTGCTCCTAATACATTCGATGGTATCATAAATAAAACTACTCAGGGGTGGGATTCTGTTTTAACGTTTCGACTCGAATTTGATATCAATCTCCATAATTGCAATTCCGTTCAACGAAATTCGACAATAAATTCGATCAAATAACTCGAAATCTCTAGAGTAGTCGATTCGATATAAAATCAAGTTGAATTTTTAGGTATAAACCTGTTAATGAGGTGAATAATACGCCTATGGCCTAAAACCTTAGGACTGAAAATAATTTAGTTTTCGCAGCAATGTGCCTTTTCTAAATAACCTTTTCTGCATTAAATGCCCTATTTTCTCTATAAAACTATTAGAACATCAATGAAATGATTATTTGCTGCAAAATATAAACTTAGGTAGGTACTCTTTATTCAGCCGAAAAAGCTATCTACAGTGATTTTTAGAGATTTCGAAAGGATAGCTCTATGGGATCGCTTCTTTCCTTTAGTTCGTCCTTGCTTTAGCGCAATAATAATAAACTTTTTACAATTTTTCCCATTACGAGTGACCCCTGCAACTCTGAAAGCATAGCTGGTGTCGGAGAGGAACAACGAAGTTATTAATATTTGCCATGGCGCTCCGAGCAAACTTACAGAAGCTGCCATTTAACTTATAGATGAGGAAACTCAGGAATACTCCACACATATCTATAAATAAATAATTAATTGACGTCAAGGCTAAACAAATACAATTTACTTTTTATTATTTGACGTTTAAAAGTCAAAGTAGTTCGAATACTTCATTATTTTGTCGAATTTCCGAATTCAAAATAGATCGAGTTATGTAATTGCTCTTCATATAATTCGAACGAATTATGAATCGTATCGAGATTGAGTTACTCGACACATAACATAATCCCATCCCAGGTTCTCTTTCTATCCTGTGAAGGTAGTATTTCGGATGTGTATAATGCTTTTGACAGCTGCCCCAAATGTGAAAAAGTAATTCCTTTGTTGTATTGTCTAAAAAACTAACTCTCTAATCATCCTAAGTTTTAAAAGTTGTTATTAAAAATAAAAAGAAAGAAACGGTAATATTAAATTAAGGAAGAGTGGGAATGCTTATTGCCTAGTCTATCTTAAGCATTCTCTAAGATATAAAAGACTGGGTGAATTGTCTTCAAGGTCCTTGCTCAAAAAAGGAACTGAAGATTAGATTTTTTTGGAGTTGAGAATCTCTGTCCTCATTCACAGCGATCTTCTCAAGGGTATTTTGGAATTAATCCCCATCCACCCTATAAATTTGTAACACGTATTCTTTAACATCCCGTATAAGTGTGAATGTTATATAATTTTTAGTGAATAAACCAAGATTTGTTTTTTCTAAATATATATTTATAAACCCTTTTCATTTTAAATAACCATTTGACTAATCGAATCACAATGAGATAAAAAATAATATTAATCTCAATGTTTAATTTTGAAGTTTTAATCGATCGATAATGCTCTTCATAAGCCATTATATCTGTTTATAAGTTCTGTTGTCAGTTTGCTTCCCACATAATTTTATCATAAATGCTGAGTTAAAATTTGCACTTATGAAGGAAGTATCAATCTCGCATTACGTTGATAGTATTCCTATTAGGCATTCCAACGATCTGTCAAAATGCTGACAAGTGAAAACTGACAGTTTAGATATGGCAACCCTGCGGGCCTGTTGTAATTGACAGGGTTAATGATGCATAACGGCTTAAAGCGGGTGGCCATATTGCCTCGCAAGTGCTCATTAATGAGAATCGATTTAGTTAAAATGTGTTTACAAACCAATTTTCAGCCTTTGAATATAGTAAAAAAAAATAATTACCTACATTTTTACTTCAAGGCATAAGTTTATGTTTATTTTGAAAAACATGGATGATCAGTCTATATAAATATCTGTCATTGACCCTGTCAAATCACCAGACCTACCTACAGGGTTGCCTGTCAAAACCCACTGATAGTCATTTTGTTTGGAATGCCTGATAGTATTTTCTGTTTGTGAGGTTGAGTTTAGTCTCTATATTTAAAACACGCTCCATATTACAAGTAATTGACATAAATGGTAATTATTTAGTGA